TATCAGGATTATTATTATTATTATATCAGGATATCATTATTATATATCAGGATTGCATCTGTTCTACCTTGAACGAGATGCACATGCTTTCCTTACCTGGAGCACGTTGGGGGGTTATGGATTAGGATGGCTGGCGGATATCACAAAAATACCCCGATACGTGCGGGATTGCAACAACGACCCGAAATTCCTGCAGGAATTGGTGGAAAAGATGCGAAGAAACAGAAGCGTGAGTTTTTAACGCTTCAGCCAAAGTCAGATTTTCGAAAATTTGCATTTGCAGCCCCCATTTTCCACCAGCCGTTTCATATCGGCTGTAATGGTTGCGTATCTATGGGGCCAAATGGTGCTGCTTGCCATCCCTCAGGATGAGGTTTGGGGCATTAACTGGAACACCTATTTCCACTGGTTCATACCATTGGCTGTGGCGCTTGGTAGGGACATTTTCCCAGTCTCTGTGCTTCGAAATCAATATATTTTTTAGGAGTTTGGGCAGTGGGGAATATAGGCAGGGAGCAGGGCAAGCCTTGGCTTACTATCGCTGTTTCCTACATAACGTATTCGTCCAGATGGTATTTTTACGACGACAGCATTTGGCTGAGCATCATGATGTTTGCGGCCGCCTTAACATTCGAGACCTTTTCCAAAGAGTGGAAGTTATTCCCTAGGAAGAAGAGGTCTGTGGTTGATTTTTTATTGGACTTTCGATTAATTAGGTTAATTAGGTCGCTGTGGCGCCGAGCAGCCACCGTTACTTTCTGCGCAATCCTCTACATCGGCCTGTGGTCTTCTTTCGTCTACTTCAATGGAAAAGTGACCGATTCCAATGGAGACGAAGTCCCAGTTCACGAGGCTTTGCACCACTTCTTCACTAGCTCTTGGTGGACCGACTTCAAGCAGTCTTTATATGAAGTATACGCATACGCTCAACAGAACGGATGGTAATCGCATAGATCCAGCAGGAGAAATTGTATAGAATCAGGATCATTTCGCAGGTACGAAATTTGGAAGGCAGTCATCACTCTGTCTGATCCGCAAGGAGAGCAAAACGCCTACAGAGTGCTCGGAGTGAGTCCCACTGCCAGTCAGCAGGAAATTACAACCAGGTGGAGGGCGCTGAGTAGGGAAAATCATCCAGACAAAGTGAAAGATCCGGAAAAGCAACGCGACGCCCAGGACAAATTTATGGAGATCCAGCAAGCTTACGAGATTTTGTCCAATATCAAGAACAAGCGCAACAGGCGAAACAAGCAGTCGGTTCGGGACGATTTTTGATGAATCGCTTTTTTTACTGTATATAAACAGGTTTTATTAATGCTTTACAAATTATTTTTTGAATATTCTATACATGGGTTTTATTTCCCGATTTTCCGACCCTGCTTGAGTGCTCACGATAACGTATATTGATTTAAATGGGAATATTTCTGTTTGAATTTTTCATGTTGTTTTAAAGCTTCCTGTATAGAGTGTGAAAATTAAAGTTATTCACTCACTAAATCGATATGAATCAGGATTCGCTGTTTTGAATAAAATTTGCAACCAGTTTCGCTTTAATCGTCTTCTATCGACGGTGCAAATTTCAAGTTGCTGCTTGTTTTAAATCAGATTTTTGCAAAAACCTTTATTCTCAAGCCTGCACCCAGTAAGCAACACTCAGGATTTATTGCGATTTCAATGCAGTTTTCAGCGTTTTTAGATTGAAGTGTCTTTTATGGATTGCGAAAGTTTTAATGCGTTACTTCGGTTAAATGAGGAGTTTGGGTTTTTTTTAATTAGCGGGAGCAGTTTTGTGAGAGCGGCGCTTATTTGGGCCAATATTTATTAAGTGGGCAAAAATCAGGTTTTCACGCAGTTTTAATTAAAGTTGCTAAGCTTTCAAACCCGATCGTCCTCTATGAACTGTGAACATTTCTAGTTGCTACTTGGTGCAAGCTGGAACTTCGGAGTTTCAGGGGGGCTGCAGTTTTGCGAAAACTTTTTTTTTTGTTTTACAAACTTTTTTTTGGGTATTTCGCCTCAAAAATTTTTGTCTTTAAAAAAGACAGAATTTCCTCACGTCTTTTATTACATATTGATAAATAGTAAGTATTTACTAAACGGCCAAAAATCAGGTTTGCTCGCAATTTGCATGAAAACCTCAGAATTTTCAGCGACTAGTGTAGTCTATCCACTATAAAAATTTTCAGCTGCCACTTCGTCTACATTTTAAGTTAAGGTTTTTTATGGTAGAGTAGTGGAAAAGCGTTTTTTTGCAGGTCATCCACAGTGACTCACTTCGACGACTTAAAACGTTGAGTACAATTAACTTAACCCTTTGAACGAATTGAAACTGCCGAAAAACAGGGTCTTAAATTCTATTTTAATATAAACAGTTGGTATATTGTACATAGCAGCTTAAACGATATTTTTTCAATACTCTTATAATAATGCAGTTGATAATAGTTAAGTATATGAGGATCGATAAAGTATCCCTACTGAATTAGGTAAGAAGAAGACGAAATTTGTCGGGTATATTTAAAAAATAGGTCTTTGGTCCGTTACATATCATGTGGAGAGAAACAAGTTCGCAACGCAAATAAACTCACTTGGCTGAACCACCAAAACAACCTAAAATCAGCATTGCGTTGTTGCTTATTGATAATTCGGATATAAATGCCGCTGGTAAATTGAAGCTGAGGTTCAATCTGTGGTGCCTGTGAGGAGTTGATGATTTCTGCTGCAAGCAAGTGAAACAGGCAAAAAGAATCAATAGTCCGATAAAGCATAAATATGTATAAAGGTTTTTCACAGGAAATACCGTAGAAGAGGAAAAAATAAGAAATTTGGTTAAGCTTCTAAAGCTCCTCAAGCAGGCACCACGATAAAACTGGGCTTAAGAGCGGCTTGATCCTAATCCGTCTTTGGTAACAAATCTGAGAGCATAAATAGCTATAAATAATCCATGTATACACAAACGCAAAATGCCCAAATAGGTATAAACATTTATCAAAAGAGGCTTGTTATAGAAAAACACAATACTTGTTCTCAAAATCTCCGCTAAAAAGGTAGGCTATATCTACCAAGCTACAAAAGGTCTTGCGATTAAATCCCTTTGTAAACCACACAAACTGATTTTTTTCAGAGTTGACGCACATAATTTGATGTTCATCTTGTTAATAGCTAGAAGTCTAGAGTTAAGGTTATTATAATTTATATAATAATCAAGCAGTCTCTTCACAGATGTGCTGGGTTGGGTTTGAAGCCTCAGGCCAACCAATGGCTTAATGCTGCAAATCCACTCCCTAAAGTAATTATTTTAATTCAGTTGATGCTATTTTTTCTTCTTGCTCCTGGCCGGTTTGATAATTTCACTTTTACTGTGATTGACCATTCCATTGCTGGACACTGTTTTCGCCTCCCCATTCGAGTCTTCGTGGTCGCTCCTCTCGCATTTATCCATATCTTCTAAGTTGTTATTCGGACAGTCGCCGTTGTTATTCACAAGAGTAATCTGAAGTCGCGGTACTGTTAAAGGCCTCAACAGGGACTTTACCATTGGCGAAACCGACCCCTCGATAGGAAAAACTGGACTACTGGCGCAAAGCGCCGCCGTCGTCAATTGCGTGACCAATCGCGTCGTCGAAAAGGTGTCTGAGGATGGTCCGGAAGACGTTCGAAATACTTTTTTTAGTTTGGATTTTAGACCTGCAACACGCAGTGGTTCTGGTGAGCTGAAAATGAGGTTTAGAGGGGGAATTGGTACCGTTTGAAGGTGGCGGCGAACTTAGAGGCAGAGGGATCACTTTGCCTCCCATGATCACGGTGTTGCCCATTTCGTGCTCCATTCCCCAGTTTCCATAAGAGGTGGATCGCTCCAAGAGCCGCTGACGGGCGTGTTTTTCTATAACATCCGCACAAACGTAACGTCCACAAAATCGGGCCCATTCGTCTGCTCGCAAACTTCGACCATTGTCCCTAAGGGTTGGATTTGCTCCTAAAAAAGACAATTTTTGGATGGCAAATTGATCGTTTTTCCACTGACTTCTGCGTATAAAGACGTATAGGTCAAGTTTACTTGGCTACATTCAGAACAGATTGTTTAGGTGGTTTGGGGTAGGGCAAGAGCGGAAGCGGTAAAAGTAAGTTGTGAAGGAAACACTGAAGAGGTAACTGCTGTTTAAATTCCGAAAAAATTAAGAAACCGCAGAAAATCAGGAAAAACTTAAACTAGTGTTGATGATGCCAAAAGCTAAGGAGGAAAGTCTAGAAAAAAAATTTCATGTTTTCCGTCCCGTTTTGCATGTTTCTCGGAAGCAAAATGAGGAAGAACGCTCGTTTTTACATCATTCCAGAGATAACTAAGTGGTCTTTATTCCAAGTTTGTCAAGAACCATTCGAGCCCCACAGAATTCGTTTTGGCATCGTTGGATAGAGAATTGAAAAGTC